ACACACACACACGAAAAAAGGCAAGTGCAAAGAGCCCCATTACAAAAAAGATGGTACCCAGGCTACTTCCAACTGGCTTTACTGAGTTAGCCTGGATGCCAGACCCAAAGCACACTGGACACAAAATATCTCAGTGAGCAAGAGGGCCTTACGCTCAGATACTGAGCGTTCGACTGGCAGGTCTATCTGACCCTACCAGACCCTTGCACACTGAGATATTTTGTGTCAAGTGTGCTTTGGGTCGGGCATCCAGGCTATACTGAGTGGTCTTGGCTGTCTGTTGTTGAGAAGAGAAAATATTTCAAAAAGGTCTGCAATTTATCAATTCAATCAAGTGCTACACAAAATAAAACAGCCTTCTACTCACATTAAATGGTTTTCCCGGAGTTTTCGACCGACTATCAGATGACACTCACATCCTTTGGAATGCCCCAGTATCCAAGGTATTCGCCTTCTTAAGTGGCAAGGCGCCTGGTATCTTAGAATCACCACAAGAATCTCCTCAACCACGACACACGCTGTCCTATCTTTCCTTAGGGTACTTCCTCCATTTCTCGTATCTTTAAGATCGGACCATAGGCCAAGGATGGAGGAACATCGTATCTCATGATGCTATCTTCTTTTAAAACTGTTATGACCATGACCTAACAAATGTAAGGACGTTAAACTGTCATATTTCCCAACTAGAAAGTCCGGCATTTGCTCGAGAGCAAATATAGCATATTTCACACCAAAGTTTGGACGGGTTACTGTATAGTTACACTAAATACAGTACCTGCAACCAGTACAATGGACAAGTGGGCAGAGTACAGCGTTCACATTCGGTAAGTCGTAAGTTAGATGCCTGGCCTACCAAAAACTCGAGTAATACTCTGCTGAGCACTTAGCATTTGGGCATTTGGGAAAGAGTACTACCAGTGGACTAGCCCCCCACTGTAGTGATTGCACAACTGTGTGGCCCAAGGACTACAGAAACGGAGATGGGCGCTGACCTATGCATCATGGGTGCGGGAAGGGCCATTATCCAACTCTTAGCTCTTAACCAACTTCAAAAGTGGTGAATGTTTTGGCACAAAAATTCTACATGTGGTAAAATACGTCGTGACAAATATCTAGACTAGATGTCACACATATCCAGACGATTCCCTCGCAAAGCAAACGTGATTAGATGTAGCTCAGTACTTCAGAACTAAACGGCGATGACAGGTTGTACCCTGGAATGTCGCACCACACCAGATGTACCGATGAAGCCAACAGCCGCTCGAACGATAACACTGAGCATCTGATAATTCATATGACTGGCGATGGTCCAAAGCGTCTGCTAAAAATCTCCTGCATTCGGATCATGGCGGTTTTTATCGTTTTCGTCGCAAATTATGTCGTTCTGCTGATTAGGGTTATCTATCAAAGCATACAAGCTGGATATAAATACGCACAAACGCGCCGCGCCATCTTGTTAAGTAGTAAAAATCTAAAGAGCGTCGAAGTAAGCCTTCAGAGGCGGTCATCGCTATTGTAAGAGTTGTTTTATCTAGTTCGTTGTGGAACTGAGTAGGATGTGGATATGAGACATATATTTGACGCCCCGTGGGATGGAAAGGATCGAATGAGAAGATATACTTTCTTCCTTGGAATGACACCGAACAGATGTCGTCAGGCTATTTGCCCTATAGCTTACTTGCGTAGCGTCACATATGTGAATAGAACTGTATGACTGAGGCTTGCACTTGTACTTGTACTTGAGTCTCCGTGAGTGGCCTGCGTCAAAGTCGTCCCTCCGTCTGCACAGCGTCCTGCGCCATACTTAGCGGTCGTGGGCAATCGTCTTCAGGTCCTCTAGAGTCAGACTGGGTTGTTGCATGGTCGTCCTGGCATCTTCCAGTACACATGCCAGCCATGTCTTCCTTGGTCTGCCTCTAGATCTTTTCCCATAGTTGGGAGTCCATTCCAGAAGGAACTTGGGCAACCGTTCTACAGGCATTCTTAGCAAATGACCTAACCATCTCAGTCTGTTGCGTGCATTGGGGTAAAAGTTAAAATGCTATGGGAGGAATGTGTGAGGAGAAAATTTGCATCCTTCCCTCTGACGCATGTGAAATTTTCAGGACACACAGAATCCATGTACACCACGTACTACAAAAATATCAAAGGTGTCGTATAAACAAAAGTGTCGTAAACAAAAATTCGAGCCTTCCACAAATACCCTGGGTACCATCCTGGTTAGTTTACGTCCGCTCCCACAGTACGGTCGGTAGCGACTGTGAGAGCGGACGTAAACTAACCAGGATGGTACCCAGGGTATTCCACAACTGGTAATTGTAACCAAATATAAGTTGTGGCTCCCATGGCAGATGTATAGCGAAGTGTTGACCTGCAGTAGTCTAACATTTACCAAGTTGACATTTATGAGACAATATTTCCATACCTCCTACACGTTTGGTCACCTAGATGTGAACGTTCTTCCTATAAAACGTCTGACTCCATTTTTGTTTGCAGCTCTCCCTCCTCAGGGCCCACTTCCGGCTGGAGATGCTGTACCGGTCGCTAGGGGACTTCCAGCAGATGCGGGAACACGTGGTCAAGTACACACAGGTGGGTACATGACGTCACAGACGCCATGTTGGTTGGTTAACCTTGAGTACACCGGAGTAGTCGTTTGGTTTGGGGGTTAACAAGTAGAAGCTGAAGGTTAAACCTGGAAAGGTCAGACATAAATTAGCATATGTATGAGTCATATTTACGTCACAGACGCCATGTTCCTTGGTTAACCTTTAGCACACTGGATTAGCCTTTTGGTTATGGGGCTAGCAAGAAGGTTAAACCTGGAAAAGTCAAACATGTATTAGCATACGTATGCATCATATTTACGTCACTTTATGTCACTGCAAGCGTTGTTCAAAGCTGCATCATGTAACACTAGGATGACACAAAAAGTACATTTTCTGGTCATTTCTTTACAAAGTAAGCCGAATCAACCCTACTCCATTGCAAACAAGTCTAATTCAAGAAGTGAAGGTGCCAAAATATGATGCCTTATGGGTGTGTTTGACAGCTTGAAAATCTGCTGTCATCCATGTTTGTTTACATTCTGGTATTTTGTGGTGGCACCAAAAACTAAGTGCTTCTCACGTGTGGGCTGTTCTAGCGCCAACCATAATGTCAAAAATGTAAAATATATTGGAAGTAAATTATAATTACACGAATATTGTTTTTAATAATGCAATTCCATCTTTGGTCCAAAAATGTTACATAATGCTCCTTTATAGTTACCTAGTGATGATACCCCTTCTGTACTTGGTGGCAGCGAGTTTTACTCAACGATAGTTGTAGTTCGTGGAAAACAAACAAACAAACAAACAAACATTTTTCTGTACCTGTCCCAGGCCCTGGAGGCGATGGAGCTGTACTGTGGAGCCTGCGGAGACACGTACGGAGAGAAACCGGACAGGATAGAGGCTCTACCCTGCTCACACATTTTCCATTCCAGGTCAGACGACATTTGACCCGGAAGTTGTAGACGGTTTGACCCGGAAATTATACATGGATCAGCGTTCACGTCAATATCTAGTTTTTTTAGTCCTTGGTTTAGGCAAGAAACATTGTTTCCTTGTCACAACATATTTTTCTCTTTTGATTTGTGTAAGACGTAGGGAAGAAATCCAGTCCAAATACATTTTGGTTGGTCTCTGGTCTCATTTATAGATTGTAGTAAATGCAGTTTCATACTTTAAGGATAAGGACAGAAACGTTATTTTATGAAATATCTTTCAAACTCGAATTTTGATACGCTAGTAAACCTGGCTAACGAAGAATTGAAAAAGGTTATATCGTGGTTTGAGGCAAATAAATTATCAGTCAATGTTAAGAAGACATACTACCTTATTTTCTGTAATAGAAATAAACCCTACAATAGAAGCGCCAAAATCTTTTTAAAAAATGTGACCCTTTCTCAAGAGAGTCAAGCCAAATTCTTAGGTATAATCATTGATGAACGATTGACCTGGAAACCACATATAACTATGTTAGGTAAAAAAATTTCAAAAACTATCGGTATTATTGGAAAAATTAAACATCTTCTTACTCAAAAAACCATTATTACCATATACAATAGCCTAATATACCCATATCTAACCTACGGGAATATAGTCTGGGGATGTGCCTACAAAACCACACTACAGCCCCTAGTATTACTCCAAAAAGATTTGTTCGTTCAGCCACCGGCGCCAGTTTCCATGCACATTCTGCACCTTTGTTTACAAAACTTAATATTTTGAATATTTTTGACATAAACAGACTTCATCTGATGCTATTTACGTTTAAATTCCTTACTTGTTCTCTTCCAGACACATTTAATGGTCTTCTAAACCTTAATTCCCATTTTCATACTTACCAAACTCGACAAAGTGCCCATTTCCATATCCCCCTAGTTAGAACGTCCGTAGCCCAAATGAGTGTGAAATATAAATGTATAACAACTTGGAATAATCTCCCGCTCCACCTAAAATGTTTAACATCAATAATTAGATTTAAACGAAATCTTAAAAATCACCTACTTTTCTTTCCCACCGACATTTGATTTCTTATTACTTTGATTTCATCTGTATAAGTTTGAATTTCCGTTTCTCTTTAAAATTCATTTATTTTCTTGAGTTATTGCTTCAATTCTGCCAATGTCTGTATTGCAGTTAAAGTTCTGTTAACGTTAAAGTTATAGTTTTTAACATATCATTTCTAATTAGCGTTATTTATCAATCACTTTTGTTATTCATGTTACTATTTGTTTTGTTACTATTATCATTTTGATCATATTGATCAAATTTATTAATTACCTATTGTTATTTATTATTATCATTTGATTTGTTAGCATTATTTCAGTTGTTAATTAATTTTGTCGGGGAAAGATCCCAGACAAGCCACTATGGCTTCATATCTTTCCCCAGCATTTTATTTTACTGTCAGTATTATGTTCATTTTATTGTTATTAAATATATGCGAACCAATAAACACAAACACAAACACATCTAAATTGCCAAATCTGGTAGTTTATGTGTCTTTTGCACTGTAGTTTATGTTCCTATGGCACCATCCTGGCTTACAGGTTAAGCCTTTGGTTTGCAAATTAAGAATGGTACGAAGTAAACTCTTACAGTGTTTTTTTTTTCCACAGATGCGTGGAAACAACACTCCAAAAGACTACTGGCTGCCCAGACTGTCGCCGTGTCATGCTGAGGCCTGTGTACGTCTGAGAGGCAAAAGGACGTCCAGTCATTCTTTGAACATAGACTGGTATCCAAACGAATGGTGCTATACTGTATCATATCGCTAGGGGCGCTCGTGAGTGGTCTTCGACTGACGCATAGAAAAGAAAGATACATTTCGGCAAAAAAAACCTATTTTATAGGTTTGTACTATATGTCGAAGGTCGAGATCACTTCAGTATAAAGGCGCCGCCTAGCGATGTTTACTATAAATGTATTACAACGACCAAATATGACGACGTGGAAGTTTATTTATTGTTTTCTTATTGATGACTGTACTGGCTGGTATGAGGAGTATTGAAGATGCAGAATAAGATCAGTTGCAATACACAGAAACAACAACAAAAACAGACGACACGTTTTGAAAAGCAATTTGTTAGCTGAACTTGAATTTTCTCCATACTTCTTGAAGGAACGAATGTGAAAACCAGGTTCAACTTTAAACCTTTGTTTAACTGTGGTAAATACCGTATATTCGGTTTGCTGATTGTGTTTACTGATATTATGTTTATTTTTAGTACCTGCTGTATATAGAAAACATCGACAGCCATTTTGAACCGTCTCATGGACGTCAAGAGGATCTTTTGTTGGGTTTTATAAATGTTTTATCTTATTTCCCAATTATTTGCACCCTGACATATTCAACATTTTAAACTTTCTTTATCGACTTAAATACATTTGAATTAGCATTTTATCTTGACACTTGAACATTCTTAAACAAACTATGAAGAGTTACAAAATTAAGACAACACATTTATGTCACATTTATTCTGTTAATGATCCTAATTGATTTATCTGATACAAATATGATGCGTATTTGATCAAGGTATGATTTTGTGAAGATTGACAATTGGACAAACATTTTTATAGTCTATCATAAGTGTGAGTATTGTATATACAAATTGCTTGGTATGATGAATACGTTTACCGTACTCTCCAAGCAGAGGTTTGGGTTTTGGGGGTATTTTTAGCGTGTTTTTAGGCTTTTTTATCGGGGTTTCTCTTTGCACTGAATTTTTTCCCACCAACCCCCCCCTAAAAAATCAATGCAAAAGAGAAACCCCGATAAAAAAAAGCCTAAAAACACGCTAAAAATACCCCCAAAACCCAAACCTCTGCTTGGAGAGTACTTTATCGTACAATGGCCAAAAAAAAACATGATCACACAAACCCATGTGTATATAGTTGGAAACGGCTCATTTTATTTACCTTTTCAAGGTTGAAGCCACTTGTGACTTCAATACAAGATTTTTTTTACAGTGTTAAGAGTTTTCCCTGACTTCTTCAGTGATATTAAAAGATGAGAAGGAAATACAATATTTTTCTCAAATGATCTTTTGAACCTTACTGTTTACATACTTGTACTTTTGAGACGTATTGTTTTACACTTGTTATTATTTTTATACTATACTGATATGACCATTTATTGGTAATAACATATTGCACCTTCAGCTTTGGCTTATCATTTATAATAATAATGACGAATATAACATGAAAATCCATGGAAAAAATCCATGGAAAAATCCATGGAAAAAAACCAGTAGGGTTGGCCATTGGAACATACATTGTGTTAAACACTTGAATTCCCAAACATTCAAGTCCAAATGAAACTCTTGTATGACAAGAGGTGTCATAAAATGATGAGACACAGCATATAAACAGTTCGTCAGTAATCTGGCATTTAACAACAATATATATCCTATTCTGACCTGGTTATAGTAGTAGAATAAGCAGTAGTTAGTGGTAGTAGTACCTAGTAGTAGTACCTAGTAGTAGTAGTAGTAGTAGTAGTAGTAGTAGTAGTAGAAGTAGTAGTAGTAATAGTATTTCTGACCTAGTTATAGTAGTAGTACAAGTAGTAGTTAGTAGTAGAAATAGTAGTAGTAGTTGTAGTAGTAGTAGTAGTAGTATATCTGACCAGTAGTAGTTAGTGGTAGAAGTAGTAGTAGTACTAGTAGTTGTAGTAGTAGTAGTTGTAGTAGTAGTAGTATATCTGACCAGTAGTAGTTAGTAGTAGAAGAAGTAGTAGTAGTAGTAGTAGTTGTAGTAGTAGTTGTAGTAGTGGTACATTTGACCTGGTTATAGTAGTAGTACAAGTAGTAGTCAGTAATAGTAGTAGTAGTAGTAGTAGTAGTATATCCTAGTTCCCTACCAGATACTTGAGAATCCCTTTGACTAAGTTGGAGAGCGAGTCCCTCTCCCGTTCGTACGCGTGCATGAGTGTCATGGTGGACGCCATGAACACCAAGATGGAGCCGAACGGCACGGTCTTCACGTGATGCCGCTGGGCCAATAGGAACATTCCGTTCAGGAAGTGGGGAATGACGTACATGGACAGCTCTCGCCTGTCAGGGCAAAGGTCAAATGTTTAATGAGGCCATGAGGAATGGCCATTGTTTTTGGATCAACAATTCAACATACTCTTTATGAAAACACAATCTGAAAGGTACACCCATATACAATATGTGCAGTTTCCATCTATCCGTGCATATGAATTTTATATAAATGTTGATATATTTTGATAGACTGTCTTGAAGAACGATGTTGGTAGTTTCTTCGGAAAATTTAAGGCATGCAATCAAAACTTCTTTCTCTATAAAGAAATAATCATATCATAAAAATGCAGACTGCCTTGAATGTATTGATTTTTGTATTGCGGACGTACTTAGGCGCACATACTATTTTCCAATAACGTATATGTTTTTGATTTTTGTAATTATTTCGAATCGCGAAAACTCACCTTCTGGAAGCCCTTTCGAAAAGTACGGAGAGTGCGCAGAGCACCCCCGCCGTGAAGGGAATGTAACCGTCCACCGGCGGAGGCTTGTGCGCCCTGTGACGTAGTACGCAGATGACGTATTTCGCAATCTGCACCAGAAACGTCAGGAAGGTGCCGGACCAGACCGTGTGGATGAAGAGTGACGTCAGAGTGTCTGTGGGCCTGAGGAAAGAGATGGATCTGATTATTATTATTATCATCACTATTACTATCATACATCCAAAGGCAATATTTATGGCAAAAAAGGTAACAGATGGAACGATACACAAGTGTATGGTGATAAGGGCGTTTTGATTCCCACACTACAGTGCGTTTGCAGTCACGTGACTAGGGTAAGCATCCGCCATGTTGGTGGGCTAAAGGCACGCGCCAGTCGCCATCTTGGATCCGTGCACTCTACCAACATGGCGGCCACATTTTCTAAAATGCCGTAACGTGGAAGTATATATAAAATACTTCTTTTGTCATGAGCTCACCTTGACAGAAGCTGTTTGTACTTGAAAAGCAAGACAGGCACTAGATTGATGGGCAGGTACATCTTAAAGAAGCTGGGCCAGCTCCTCAAGGTGTCTTTCAGGGTGTACGCGTGGCAGCTGCCGGGGTGCATGTGGAGATCACACGGGACGAACTCCGTGCCCGTCCGGCGGAGGGTATGGGCCAGCCCCTTGTCGGTCCAGCCACGGGACCAGCGGAGGATAGAGCGGTAGTAGCCGACGGGCAGCAGCTCGGGGTCCAGCGCGGCGGCGTACACGATGAAGCCAGTGCAGAGGCAGAAGACGGCCGTGTCGCAGTGTCTGACTCGCGGTACATGCCCCCGTCTTACCTGCAAATATACAAGTAGTTATGCTACAACTAAAGTTCATCTGTGGTAAGTGATAAGGCCAATTTCACGTTAAAATTGTCTTTCCAACACAAGTAATGGATACTAAAGGCCGAAGATGGTTGAATCTTATGCAAATGTGTGCTGGAAGTAACATTTTATTTGACACTTGTCACGCGGCTTCTCTGTGTGAGTGTGACCCTGTGTTGACGTCATTGACGTCACACTTCAGAAAAGCCACGTGACAAGTCTCACTGGGTCAGTCTACTGAGTAAGACCAGAGTGACTGGTCGAAAACTAACTCTAGATGAGAACAATTTCTTGTGTTGGATCAAAAGTTTTAACTTTTTTTTACAAACATAACATTCTCATGTGTTTCTACAACAATTGTAAGTTGGCATATCAATGCATGACCACTTCATTATTATGTTTACCGAAGGAAAACATATTGTTTTTACTCAATTTCTTCCTCTTCTGTTCCAAACACTCTAACCTGGCCAATGACATGATTTGTTGACGTCTGTCACCATGGTGACTGGTTTTGGGTTACATAATGTTGCAATTTCATGGTCTGCTCTACTCCTGTCACCATATACTAGTAGTACATGTATGTGAATGTGTTTGAGTAAAAATTAACAGGGCAGACCATGTCCGAGGGTAAACATTATGCATTTACTTTGCAAATGTTACTTCTTTAGTTACAGGATATTTTCCTGTATCATATATATCCCATGTTAAACGTTCATGATCTTACCAGAGTGCTGAAGAAGGCGTTAGCGGCCCGAGCCAGCAGGAATAGGGCGATGGTCCGCCGCCGCTTCCCTGACTCGATAAACATGGTCAGGCCGGCAATGGCGCCGGCTATGGTGCTGTTTGAACCACCCTGTAAGACGAAAGTCATATACGTATCAAGATTTAGAAATCCCTGAGAACAAGGAGAGAAAAAACGTGCTGTTTTCAGTGAGAGTGCCTCAGCCATTGGAAGCCCAGTGCTGACAGCACTGGGAATCCATAGCCTGGGTGCCAGACCCACAGCACACTAGCTATAGGCTCAAAGTTATCCAGCGTGCGCACTGGATACCTTTGAGCCTAGCTAGTGTACTACGGGTCTGGCACCCAGGCTAAAAATTCAGTGCTGAATTCGAAGCCTCTTTTTCCGCACTGGAATCGAGTGATGAAAAAGGAGAGTGCGTTTTTCGTAGTTTTGCTATCGGGATAAAGTGTTTTGATTGGTGATTTTGAAAACTAGTGACATCGTGCAATCTTTTTGCGTTTGGGTGAAATTGGCTTCCATTTCGTAATAGCGTAGTCCACAGGTAATACTCTCGTAAGGTGTTGATTTGTGATTAAAACTGTACCCTCGACCCCACGTTTCGTGGTTCATAATTAGAAAAACAGTCCCTGACCCAATCAACCTGTAACGTCTCATGATGTTTGTTCTGCTATTTTTGGCGACGACCCTTGATCTATGTTACCTGGTGTTGACCCTGGGCTTTTAACCGTACGGTGATGCAACTGCACAACAACATTATCACGAAAACTATTCTACTACTAGCTAGGACGCCAATAGGTACTATTCTTATACCTCGTATTTAATCACCGACGAAATGGCATCGACTACAAGTATTGTAAAATATGAAAATATGCACTTAAATTTATTATGCTGCAATTAGCGGTCATTATTAGCTTCCTTAATGATATTACACTCTGCTTGCGATCCATACTACTTATTACTCCTCAAATTCATACTCTACGGTAACATATGACAGTAAAATAATCTATCTTTACTCTCAGTCTTAAGTATTACTACTGCTGACGATTAGCGGCCATTAGCCTCCACAATGATATTACGCTCACCCTGCGATCCATACTACTTATTACTCCTCAAATTCATACTCTACGTTAACATATGACAGTAAAATAATCTTTACTCTCAGTCTTAAGTATTACTACTGCTAACGATTAGCGGCCATTAGCCTCCACAATGATATTACACTCACCCTGCGATCCATACTACTCATTCTTCCTCAAATTTATACTCTACGTTAACATGAGGCAGAAAAAAATCTATCTTTACTCTCACTATAGAGTATTACTCCTGCTAACGATCAGCGGTCATTTAGCCTCCTCATTGATATTACACTCTTCCTGCAATCCATACTACTCATTCTTCATCAGATATATATATTCTACGTTTACCACAGTAATATTATAAAATAATATAGTATGACTACTGACCTTCCCTGGCCGAGTGCGCCGTAACGTGTCGTGAGCAAGTTTGTAGACGGCGGGAAATGCTCCGAGGAACGCAGAGAAACGCAACGTGTCCACCGACAGGGCCTCTCGGAAAACATGGCCAGGGCTAGTGGGGGAGTACAGACAAATGTATCGAGACTACATAATAATATATGTCCAGTTGTGAAAGTGAAAGTGATCTCGATCCAGTTTAGCTCATTGAAGAGCTAATCTTCCACTGGTCGTGACAGAGAAGACAGACGCTATGTACAGTATTTACAGGTTCATTGTACCGGGGAAATTCCCCTAGCTCTTTTCGACAAGCACAATGAACAGTGGACCACGGTTAACGTCCCGTCCGAAGGACTGCGATCCTTAACAGTAGCGTGCATGTCGGGTGAGTGACATCAGCCGGGATTCGAACTCCCAACCTCTTAGTCCAGAGGCAGGATCGCTAACCACTGGACTACGCACGCTACTAGTTGTGATACCGCTAGGGCATACATTTGCCTATTGATCAATTAAAAGTGACGCCGTCGACTTCTGTCCATAGCCTGGGTGCAATTCGTTACAAATCGGATGGCACCCAGGCTATTGTGCCGAGGCACTTCAATCAAAAATGATTTCGACCAACTTTTCAGCAATTAGCGCAATTATATATTGTCCATATGATTTCACGATTTCCAAAACAATGTACAATAGTTACATTATACATGTTTTTTAAATTTTTTCTCTATCAAATTCACATTTGTACATCTGCTAGTGTTACATATATTTTATTGTAGCACATTTTGTCTTGTAAAACATCACGGTGTCTGATATATATTATCTATCTATCTATCTATCTATCTATCTATCTATCTATCTATCTATCTATCTCTCTATATATCTATCTATCTATCTATCTATCTATCTATCTATCTATCTATCTATATATATATATATATATATATATATATATATATATATATATATATATATATATACTTAGTACACCATAAACTGAGACTAAAAATTGCATGACATATAATATGTTTCTTCGCAGTCGTTCTTGCGTCATACCAAATTGTTCTGTCTTGACACTTGAAAAATTTTGTTTTTCTGTGACCTTGATCTAGATTTTTGTACAGGTGGTATAAACCATACTACCATTGTAAAATGGTCGTATGGACAATGGTCGTATGGTCGTATGGTATTGCATCATTTGTAAAATGCACAAATGATGCAATGATGTGGGGTCGTGTGGCGTTAATGGTAGCGTGAAGACCAAGAGGTCGCGGGTTCGAATCCTACCATGTCACCGATCTTGTACCGTTGGGAAATCAAGGCACTCAACATGATTTTCCTCACTTCACTGAGGTGGAAATGAGTACCTAGCTTCGGTTAGGGACGTCCCTCGAATAGGACGTTAAATGGAAGTCCCGTGTTTTGGGGGAAGCCACATCCCACGCAAGTTAAAGAACTTATCGAAGAGTGGTTCAAACCTTCCCAGTGCATTGTGAGTGATTCAAACCTTACAGTCCGGTCTTACACTACTGTACAAAACTGGTGTATTACGCCTGAAAGGCGGTTTACCGGTTATGCGAAACAAACAAAGGACGAACTAGGGGGCCCAAACTCACATCACTTCTTCCCCAGCACAAGACCTACCTACCATCCAAATTTCGTCACCCCAGCATGTCTAGATCACGAGATATCAAATCCGGAAGTTCAGCTGCAGTACCATAACAAGCCGCCAGGGGGCCCAAAATCTAATCATTTCGAGCTCTCATCAAGACCTACCCACCTACCAAATATCAAGATAATCCATCTAAGCTTTCTCGAGTTATGCTGTTGATAGACAGACAGACAGACACACAGACAGACACACAGACAGACACACGGCCAGGAAAACATAACCTTCGTCAATTCTTGGCGAAGGTAACAAAATTGCACCCACCTGCTGAACAGTTTCCCGTTCAAGACCGACATGGCGACGGTTCCTCCGCCGTACAGAGCCAGTCCCGTAGCCGAGCCTCGTACGAACCGTTCCAGGGCCACGAGAACAGTTCTGCCCTCCTCGGTCTCAAAAAACGTCTCCGCCTTTTCCATGATGTAAACAATTGCTTGTCGGCATGCACGGCGTTAGAAGCTAAACTTATTCTCTAGATTGGTTCCTCCTGTTTTTGTCGTTACTGTAAGTTCGTAGAGGAGTTCGACGTGACCTGTCATGACCCTGAAAAAACCTAAATGTCGTACCACAGAACTCATGAGTTCAAAACGTGACGTAGGTTCAAAGTACGGGGTCTACAGATTAGGGTATGGAGGGGGATGAGCAAAGAAAATATTTCGTAGACGTGTATGAAAATAAGTTTTGTTGCGACGTATTCTTCGCGTCAAAATCGTGTTCATAATTTCTGAAAGATATTTTAGTTTGCTATCGTTTTTCAGCCACCCTTAATCGGCATTTTATTTTCATTGCTCACCTCCAAAACCCCCTTACACATCCTTTTATAGCGAGGCCTTAGAATACGTCACAGATGACTCAATATGTTATTTCATCATCTCTAACCTGTTTTTGCTGAACGTACATGTTTAGAGTAAAGACGGGGTTTTTGAAATGTCTGGATCAAACGGTTTTTAACAACATACGGATGCGAGCCTTGGTATTTACAATTCAAACAACCTCTACAATTCTCATATCATCGTAAACTTTAACATGATATGCTTAAGCATAAGCTTTATTTTCGTCTTTTGGTTATAAGTTTGGGCAGTGAAAACCCCTGAGTTGTAGCCACGAGCACGCCGAATCCACGTGATCGGACCTCTGAGGGATTGTTTACCATGAGCTAACAAAGCCAGTGGTGACCTTAGTTGGACCAATCACGAGCGAATGCGGCCAGAAACCGAATAGACTTTGTCCTACACTCAAACCAGTGTCTGTGGAACAGGTTGACCTACTCTAGCGGTACCCCCGGTGGTAACTGTTTGACACTCCATATTGCCGCACAGAACGGTACAAAAAATCGCCCATTCCCTACATTGTTGAGCTGTTAAACGCTAGTTAAATGCAGTTCTTCCCTACTCTTACTTAAGAGGGCATAGAGTGACTGAGTGCGGCTAGCATTGACATTTACCTCTACTAGTAGTGTAAATAGGCATTATTATAGCTCTCTACCGTTTTTGTGTGATTATTGTGTAAATCATGTATTTTTTAAACCATTAGTATTGTTTAATATCTAATTTTATGAATTGTAAGAACAACTCAATTCAGACTTGAGGTGTGCTAGTTGTTTGAATAAAGATTGATTGATTGATTGATTGATCATGCTGACCAGGTATCCAGTCTATCGCGGTGGGGCCAGTTTTTCTTCGGGGCTGCAGGAGCTCTTCCCCGCCCGCCTGAGCTAAGTTCCCCCTGTAGGTTTTTTCACGGCAGGAACAAACGCCCCTGCAGTTCTAGAGCAAGCAGCTAGGAAGCTCAAACTCATGTCACTTTATCCTCAGCACAAGAGCTACCATGTGAATTTCGTGACTCTAGCATGTCTAGATCACAAGATATCAAAACCGGACGTTCTGCTGCAGTACCATGACAAGCCGCCAGGGGGCCCAAAATCTAATCATTTCTACCCACCTACCAAATATCAAGACAATCCATCAAAGCCTTCTTGAGTTATCGTGTTCACAAACACACAGACACACAAACACACACGTACATACATGCAAACATACGAACGCCCCTGAAAACATAACCTTCTTGGCGAAGGTAAATATACTGAAAAGTGAAAGAAAATTATGGTTACATGGAGATTTTTTTCAAATGAAATATTTCAATTTTTTACTTGGTGCAAAAATGTTACATAATGCCCCTGTAAGAGGCAGCACTGTCAAGGTCTCACAATAATATTTCAAAAGGAGAGAAGAAAGGGCAACTAACAGTAGATGATAGGTAGTATATAGTATTATTATAATGTATAAATTCCTACTAATTAGCATTAGAATATAGCGTCCCAGTATGCAATACTCACGTTTTGCATACTGCATGTCCTATTGTGCATTTAGCCCATCTGGGCAAGAACATGCAAGAAAGATTCATATCATATCAATAATGTCTGTGTGCAATAAATATAGTATAAATAATTGCATTGGATAAAAAACAAATTAAAACTTTGTCTCCATCTTTCAAAATGAAAATTGACTCATGATCAGCTCATGGCTGTAAAAAAAGTGCAAAGTCAACCTCTAGGATACACCACAACACCCGAAACATAGTGCCATAAATAAAAGGCAAAACATGCAAAAAAACTTGTTTTATAATAATTCTGATAATAGCATTATTTTTGTTACCTGTTCAAACAGTAACTTTCCAATGTATGTTCTGTAGATTTGTATTGGGCTGTTCTACAGACATACTTTCTTATATAGAAAACGAATTTCATTTTGTTATGGAATGTATCAAATATGATGTTATACGTAACAAGCTAGTATTCACATTTCTCGAATCAAGTACCATAGTTTTCAAGAGTCTCGATGTTAGAGACAGATTTGAATATATATTTACATGTAATGGTCCCCACATCGCAAAAATAGGTAGATATATAAAGGAATGCTTTGCTATTAGAAAAAATACCGAAACTTGTGATTAGCCCACTCGATTGTAACACTTTATCAAAGACTTGTGCTACCCCTTATTATTTGAATAATTATGATATAGATATGTTAGGTTTTATTAGACATTAGGTCTTATTCAACACACTTATTTTATTGTTGTTACTCTCTTTATGTAGTTTGCCATACATTGTACCATGTGCAATTGTCGTGCAATAAAGTTCTTCTATATGACCTTGACATTCTGTCATGTGACCTTGAGTACCCGGTAGCAGCCCGCGACCTTCACACTACACACGCACACGCAAAACCAAAACATTACCTCCATTTTCACGGAGGTAATAATATTTGAAAGAAAGGGTACTTCGCTTTATTGTAGCAAATTGTTTTCTCTCCAACAAAGGTATATGTTCAGATTTAATCTCGGCATCAAGTAGGCAACACCTTTCATCTGCTGAGTTCAATAAACAGAGCAGACAATCAACTCTAATTGTATACTAATAAGGGGAAAACTTCAAGCAATCTTTCACATACCATAAAGGTCGTACCACTGAGAGCATTTTGTATGAATACAATAGGTTCTGTAAAGTAAGTAAGTAATAAATTCTGTGATGTCGAGAGTTAATATAATGCAACAGACAATCAACTTTAACACAACCAAAAGTATAAAAATTCGGGTGTGGTTCCAAGCTGTTTTATTTTACCACCGAGAGCTGCACACATTCAACCAACGGCAGCTGTCCTCCTGGCAAATTTTGGTGAGAGAACGTCTGAAGTTATTTTGGATCTGGAGAAAAATATTTTACCTTGACCCTCCCCCCAGGCCCAAAAATTTTTCCTAGATCCTCCCCCTAAGCCAAAACATTTTT